TGCACAAGAACATTTAGTGTGTAGAGGACGAGAATGTTTGTAATTGAAATGCATACTGGTCGGATGTGCTATAGATCCCTGAACAAGACAAACTGCAATCCCAGAAATAATACAACATTTTAAAAAATGTGAAAAAGCATTGAAACCAAATTAAATTCTCAGAGTTACCAGTCAACCTTAACACTGAGCACTCTGATGCAATCAAACATGTGAAACAGATATACATAGCATTAAAAAATGAATCGCAAATTGATGCCTTTGAAGGACGGAGATCGAAGGCTCACATGAAGAATGAAGCAGTGATGACGAGGCCAACGGAAAGCATGAAGAAGGCTAGAGTCGGATACATCGATACTGGCACTGGGCTCGAGATCGGCTTAGCTGATTCAGCCTTTTACAGGAGAAAAATGTAATAGAATTAGACATTCATCAACAAAGAAATAAAAACATAAAATTGAAAGAGAGAGAAAAGAAGCTTCGTATACCATTTCTTTCTTTTGAATCTAACACGGGCTATAGATTTCAATCCTGCGAGAAGACGACTGGTTCACTAGGAGGACTATGTAGCTTTTGCTGAGAGATCGAGTGGGGGCACCAACCTTGAAAATGTGCGAATACAATTTTTGCTTTACAGTTTTGCTCCTCTGTTTTTATTGTAATTACGGAGTACGCAAATACTTCGTACAAATTTTAAAGTTTGAACCCGGACCCGACCCGAAATATAGATGGAGCATTCCAACAATCCAACATGCTCCCTACAAAGTACGTCGAGGTGATAAATGGTCTAGGTTCGCCCCAATTTTAAGATGAATTAATTCTTGCCCTTTATTACACCAACGTGCTCCGTAGTGGCAGGGGATTGTCTGTTTACGGTAGTCGTGGAACAAGAATTTAGTGTAGTCAACAACATCTTCACCGATCATAGAACAAAATTGAGCGTGAAATCTTTTGAGACGCTCATTTGCTTTCACAATTGGTTGGAGGCATGACGTAGAATTCAAGAAATTTGCATCACCCCGACCGCCACTTCATGTAAGAAACAACCGATATTGACGGAGATTCTGACTGATTTTTACCAAATGTATTTATGTTTGAAATTATTTTCAGTTATCAATTATACTTCATTTTCAAAAAATATACATTGAAATTTTTTGTAGCACTTGTGAATTAGTTTTAAAAAAACTAATTTAGCCCGACCCGAAGCCTGAACGGGTAGCGCAACCCAACCCGGTCCCAGTACATAATTGGGCCGGTACTGGGACTGTTATTACCAAACAAACCCGTAATTCATCTTAAATTTGGGGAGAACCTAGACCATTTGTTACGCTCAGTTAGGGGTGGATTTGGGTCGGGCCACCCGGCCCGTGGACCGGCCCGACCTGCTATTGTGCGGGACCGGGACCGGCCCGCTACTATGCAGGACCGGCCCGGTTCTCGGGTCCGGGTCGGGCATAGGCCCGGGGGGAGGGCGGGTCCGGGCTCGGGTCATAATTTTGGCCAACCGGCCGGGCCGGTTCGGGTTGGGCTGGGTATTTTGGCCCATTTGGGGTGGTTTGAGGGTGGTGGGGGGGGGGGGGGGGTTAACTAGGAAAAGGAAAAAAAAATAGTAATTACCCGAGGCCCGGCCCGACCCGGACCCGGGGATTACCCAGGCCGGTACCGGGCCTCCCATTCCTGAACCGCCTGCCCGACCGGGCCTAGGCCCGGCCCGGGTCCGAACCAGCCCGGGTCCACCCCTACGCTCAGTCATCTCTATTTTCTAGCCTATTTTGTTTTCCTATTTCGTTTCTTCCAAACAAATCTGTAAAAGTGAAAATTTGTGACTTACTACGTAGTACATGGTAGGGATCGACTGAGTCCGGGCAGACCAACTCAGGACCGGTTTTCCGGTACCGATACCGGCCCGTTTCCCGGAACGTGGTAGAAAAGTGTGGCCAAACAACTTGTTTTTAAAAAAAATAATTAAATTTGTGGGTACTGATCCAGGACCAATACTCTTTGGACCCGGACTAGAACTGGCACCGCACCAAACCGGGTCGGTATCGGGCTTCAATTATTTTGAACCACGACCAGTGGCGGATCTAGGATAAAAACTTATTGGGGGCATAGTAGTTAAGAAATAGTTCAGAGGAACAAGAATTAGTAGTATTAACAAAATATATCACAATTGTGTTCTTGCAGAACTTTCTTTTCTTTGATAACATTTTTAAACATACTATCGTATTTTTCAAGAAAAACATACCATCACAAAAAAACTTTTCATCAATTCTACTAAACAAATTAGTTTTCATTATTTTTATAGTGGGGAATCAAATCTCTATGGTTCCCGTGACAAGCGCTATTAGAGACACTACAATTTGAGCTACCCGGTTTTAATGAAAGATTGATAATCAATATCTCTTCATTAAGTCTCGAAAAGTGAAATTTATACGGAGTATTACATTTTTTTGAAAGATAATATTACCTTATTATTATGACTATTACAGAGTATTATATCCTCCGTATTTAGTTAGTTATACATTAATACATTTAGAGCTCGTTTGATAACACTAAAATCGGGTAAATGAACTGATTCTGCTGAAATTCATTAGAAGTGGCTGTATTGGCTGATTCTGCTGATTTATGAAAAAATTATATTTAAAATATATTTTACTAATAAAATAAAGAAAAAATTAAATGAAAAATAGCTAAAATGATCATCTAGAGTAACTTCAACCAATGCAACCAGAAAAAGTAACTTCAACCTTACTTTTTCTTATTATTACCCCATACAGCGCGCGAAATCAAAAGCTATGTGTTTGGAGAAAAAGTTAACTGATAAGCCTGATAAGTCGAAAAACATGATCACTAAATGAGATCTAATTCAAAATAACATATTATTTAAAAATTTTATATTTGACTATCTAAATGACATTTTTCTAATAATATTAACTAATTTAGCAAGTCATCAACTAAATTAAGAAAGAATGGCAAGGATATAACCGTGGGGCTTTTCAAAGACAAAAACATGACCTTTTTTTACTTTTACAAAAATGTAATTTAATTTACAAAGCTAACTCACATTCTCCCGATCTCAGCTTACGTCTCCCTCTCTCATCTAAGGACCTTCAAACTTCCATCGACGCCTTCACTCTGCCGCCCCGACCTGTACTGCGCCGCCACACGATTCACGCCGGCCGTCCACTTCCCACCATCTCCATAGCCGATCTTTCCATGTCTGCTGCTCGCCATCGTCCTCAATTTCTGTCATTCTTCTCCTTCTTCTCGTTTTTCTAACCGGCGATTTGGTGGCGATTTATTTCCGTGGTTGCGGATGGACGAGGTTGGGGGTCGACGATGTCATCTGGTTGAGGGCGAGGTGAGTGGATTTGGCCGGCGTCTGAGTTGTTGCTTCGGTAAGCCAGATAGCTTGGTCAGATCTGTGACATCGTGCGGCGCTCCAGCGGGTGATCCAGATCTGAACAGCTAATGTGGAGATGCTAGAGCAGAATCGGGTTGCAGAGGAGGGGTTGGGATGACGGATTAAGGCAGCAGTAGGCAGGGGAGGGGTTGGGGATGGGGCTTGTGAGGGTGCAACGGTGGCGGTGGCACCGACAGTGGCGATGGAGGCAGTGTCGGACACTGGGCTGGTGGTCAATGGGTTTATGGGGCTGGTGCTCAATGGGTTTGGGGGCTAGGGGATATGGGCTTTCCGGTGCTGGGGCTTTGGGATGGGGTTTTCCGGTGTTGGGGCTATGGGATGGAGGTTTTCCGGTGGTGGGCGTTGGGATGGGGGTCTGGTGGATGAGGGAGGGGCTGGCGGAGTCACTGTTCGAGCACCGCCAGTCAACGGCGGCAGTTTCGTAGAAAGGAAAATTTTCCGGCAAGCTAGATGGGTCACTATGGCCGGAGTTGGCATGTCACTGTGGCAGAGTCACTGCGGCGTCGTCACTGCTGCGGCATCACTGCGGCGGCGTCACTGTGGTCAAAGGTTGGGTGGATGTCACGGCGACGGTCTCCGGCGGCGACGGCGGCGGTCACCGGTGGGAGGTGGTGGCAAGGAGGGTGGATGTCACTGTGTCTCGTGTCACTGTAGCAATGTGTATATAAGCAAGTTTGTCACTTATTAATCATATTTTAGGAATGTTTAAAAAAGGTCACCATTAATCATATATTAGATGTAAGACTTCTTCACTAATCTCTAACATTTTAAATTAAAGCTATGACAGGATTGACAGCCTGACAGTGATCGGAACTTTAGATTTTCAAAAACATAACATTAACGCTTACAAACAAACAATTAATAATCCAAATATAATAAATCTGACTATAAATTTATAACCCCACTAATGAATTAGCAACACATTCGTTATTCTTCCTACCTCAGCACATAGGTTTTGACATCTTAATTTGAGATTTTACCATAAACAAACCGCTCGGCTAGGAGGCTGCTTTACTGGGAGCAACGATGATTTTTTATTGGGGGCAAAACATGGATTTTTATTTTTATATATTCTAATACATTACATGGATTTAGTGGGATTGTATTGGGGGCAGCTGCCCCCCTTCTACCTCAATAGATCCGCCCCTGACCACGACCGGCCGGGCTTGGGCCCGGGACCGACCAGGACTCACCCGGCTCCATGTCTAGTACAGACTATGGAGAAGTATTTTTTTCGAAGGCAAAAGATATACCATAGCAAAACTTACTACGGGCTTGTTTGCAAACACTAAGAAAAGTGATTTTGGCTTTTTCTAAGAAAAAAACACTTATTTTACCAAACACTATCAACTTTTACCTTCTCGGCTTCCGTGTAAAATCTACTTTTTACTTTTTCTATTACACAAAAAACACTTATTTTACCAAACACTACCAACTTTTACTACTAATCACTTTTTCCCAAAAAGTGCTTTTATTTAAGTACAAGTGGTTGCAAACAAAATCTACGTAGTACGTAGTGTTTTTTCGTGAGGCAAAAGAGATAGCATGACATGGAAAAAGTATAATGTTAACTAGGGAGCTCACTTACAATTCTACCGCTTTACTATATGCAAGGGTTACATTTAATGGAACTTCTAGTAATCCAACGAATAGCCATAATCTACTACATACAAAAAGTCTGGTTGGCATATAAGCCATCATGTACATTTCAAATGACGTAATCTACAACACCATGACATGGACGGGAGCTTCTATTCCAAAACTGTATTCCGTCTGATATCATAACCATTAAATTGTCATAACTTATATACTACGTATCTACGAGTAACATATTCTACTTCACACTTCACTCTGGCTAGCTAATTCATCACAACAATCTAACCATTGGAATAACAGATGGAATACCGTTTTGGAATAGAAGATCTCATCTCACCTCAAGGACTCCATTGGAAAATCTGAAGTGGTGCCCAACAAAAATCAAGAATCTAGCATGTCCTTTTAATTTACACACGAAAAAATGGCTGATATGAATAGCTTCTGCAACTGCATAGCCTTTTCCCTCTTTGTACCCCTTCCCTCCCCCACAAAAAAAGGTCAAATCAGTTAGATGCGGGCCATAACCTGAACATGAACCCATGTTCACTCACACTTCCACCAGATAATCGTCTCATATTCCTCCATAATCTTCGGGCCCTGCCCGTTCTCAGGTTACCCGATCCAGAGTGAATCTCATACCTCATGGATGGACTTAACAGATCGGACATGGAATGTCCCCGCTCAAGATCTACCTCACAATCGGAGTTAGATTGAGGGGAGCGAGCAGGTAAATGATTCAATGATCCATGATCTTCCACGTCATTAGCCTCTAAGTTTTCTTGATCACAATTTTGAGATTCCAAATCTTTCGTCTCGTTGCACACTAACTTCAAAGCCTGAACAACCTCACCCATGAACGGTCTATTGGATACCTCGGGTTGCACACACATAGAAGCAATGGCGGCCACTTTAGTGATGCTATGCACAGGGAAATCGGGTCCCAATGAAGCGTCCACAATGAATTCCAGACCTTCTTTAGTCGTGAGGAAGGGTCTCGCCCAAGATACTAAATTCTCTTGACCAGGCGGAAGTGACATGTCCACCGGCTTTCTTCCTGTTAGGAGCTCAAGAAGGACAACACCATAGCTGTATACATCACTCTTCACTAAAAGATGCCCAGTCATTGCATACTCAGGAGCAACATACCTGCATAAGATCAACGCCAGAAGTTCATTCTGCAGGATAAATTTAGGAATACAGTGAAAAGTTTATTCCATATTCAGCCAACGAATAAATTGTTCACCCCAGGACCAGCTAAGGATCATGGATTTGCTAACTTTTTTGTCTCGGAGATTCATAGCCATCATGGCCCAACACCACTACAAAACTATGCATTTTTCCTTACGGACCCAAGACTGGGGTTTCATCCTAGCGTAATTTATTATTTCAAATTTAACTAATGTTTTCCATCATTTTCAATGGAGCCAAAGACTCACTTTTTTTGGCTTGGGAATATGATGGAATAAAGCAAAATGGTTCACTAAACTGTCTGCGCTTCTTTGTTATGAAGTAACAGTCAATCTATGCAATTTTCGCCGTGTTTTTCACTATGGGTCATTCGGAAACAGTCTCTCTGTGCTTTAGTACAGGGGTAACATCCCTGTACATCCGACCCCCCCTTACCCCACCGTAGGTGGGAGCCTTTGCGGCACTGGGGTAATGATGATGATGATGATGATGAAATTTAACCAATGTGAAACAAACTCTTCAACAAATAAATGCAAGAGTATAAAGAAGGCCTCTCCTGGGAAGGACGAATGTGCTAAGAATGAGGTTGTGGATTAACTTAACTTTGAAAGAACTCTCAATAGGTGATAACTTTACAGACGCCCAATACTCTTCAACCTAATGGAGAACCAATTATGTCAATGATGCTCTCTGGTGTGTAGAATTGTTTTAAATGAAGGAGATATAGGTAATGTTTGTTAAGCCGTAACAACATAATGGAATTATATGTAGTAGAAATGTCTACCACAAATTGATTTCATTACATTGTGTCTCACCAAACATTGCCTATTTCTAAAAAAAATCGTGTAGATGTAAGCTTACATCAAGCCCTATATTAATGGACATGCTTATAGTGAAACAAGAGGTAATTATCAGCTGGACAAACAAATCATACCCAAAGGTTCCCATGACACGAGTTGAAACGTGTCTGTTTTCTTCATCAAACGCCGCACGGGCCAGACCAAAATCTGACACTTTTGGAGTAAAGTCGTGTTCTAGTAGGATGTTGCTAGACTTAAAGTCTCTGTGTATGACACGTGGACTGGAATCTTCATGCAAATATGCCAGCCCTCGAGCAGCACCAAGTGCTATCTTCACTCGAGCATTCCAATCGAGTGGAGCACTTTCTTTATCAACCCCTAAAAACAAAAGCAAAAATGGCAATGTTATTACAGTGCCTAAAAAAACTCACTTCAAGTTTTAATGCCATAGAATGTCTAAAGATTCTAGGGTTAATCAAGTGTAGGTTTTATACTAAAAGATGCACATGATAAAAGTGTAGGTCCACTCTTATATGTGAGTAGCTATTTTTCACAAATGACACCCTTATGGCAGAAATATGATCAAATATAATGCTATTAGCAAGAATCAATTGTTCAGGGGTGGGCTGCTGGGGTGGGGAATATTCAGGAATCAGGACAAAGGCTAAGAGTGACTTCTTTAGAAAACACACAATTCCTACTAATACATACGGAGTATAAATATTAAATCATATATGGGTGCCATTTATGGACTATTTGACTTCTCAGGGCGCATTTGTAGTTTTCAGTAACCCTTAGGAATTTTTTGTTATTCCCAAAATAACAAGGGAGCTAAATGTGAAGAACTGAAATGAGAATGATCACACACAGTACCATGAAGGTGAGACTCGACACTGCCATTTGGAACAAGTTCATAAACCAAGCAACGTGCACGCTCCTCTAGGCAGATGCCAATCAACTGAACCACATTTCTATGATGTAGCCGACTAAGCATCTCAACTTCTGCCAGGAACTCACGACCTCCCTGATGGTCATCCCTCTTAAGAACCTTGACTGCTACTTTTGTTCCATCTTGAAGCGCACCACTGAAAACACGCCCAAATCCACCTTCTCCAACTACTCTTGTTTCGTTGAAGTTATCAGTTACTCTCTCCATTTCGGACAAACTGAATGTTTTTGCTGAACCGGTGTAAGCTGCAAAGCTTAAACTGAAGGATAACGAAGGAGAGTTGGGCCGACTGCCTATTACAGAGGCCGCATTCCCTAAAAGAACATTTGCAGTTAGTTTTATATGCAACAGTTTCATGAACCTTAGCAAAGTAGAAACGTTGGGAGGATGGTGGCATTTCTTAATTAACTGCAAGCATCAAGTGCATAATTTAGAGTGACAAAAAACATAATGCCATACACCAAATATGAAATTTAATCAATTGTAAGCTCAACTTATGTTTCTGAAAATATCATGAAGAAAAGTATTTGACTAGTGAGGCTTGTGGCATTTCATGTCAAAGGCTTCATTTATTTCAAGGATAATACGTTGCTACCAAAAATATTTTTGGAGGTGAATACTTTGCCATTTCTCCATGAAAATGTTACTCTAGAAATTATGTTCATGTTTAATATTGCCTCTACTATTTTCGGGTTGTCCATACATAACTTTATAATCTTTTTACGAAAATAATTGTGTGTTCATGTTGATTCTTTAAAAAAAAATTACTTCAACTCCATGTACGCTCAAATAAGAAATGTAAAATAGGGGTAGAGGGATTACAATGTTTGACAATAACATTAAAAAAAGGGCAGCCCAACGTCCCTGCAAGGTGAGAGTACGGGGAAGGGTCCCACCACAAGGAAGTATAAGGAGCAAGCCTTCCCTTGTCATTTTGACAAAAGGCCGCTCCCAAGAATTGAACCTGTGACCTCTCGATCACACGCAACACCTTAAGCGGTAAGCCAAGGTTCCCCTTCTTTGATAATAACAACAGAAACATAAAAATGTTTTAGTAAAACGACTTTCTGTTTTGACAAAAGAAAACATCTGAAGGAAAAAATCAGTGTCAAACACAAGAAAGCCTTTCTAGGAAATTGTTTCAAAAATAAGAAAATCATAATTAAAAAATCTTGAAAAAATATTTTATTGTAAACAAATGGAGCCTTATGCCACAGTCAAGTTTCTAAAGTCGTCCTGTGACACTAAGCTCAAGGTAAATACCTGTTGATTTTGGAAGAGAAAGAACTGTAGCTGGAGGGGTAGGGTCAGATTGGAAAACCCTATCTCTATGCTTGAATAGTAGCATCCACGCAGCAACACAGCACAATACAAGTGCAGCACATGCTGACAACACTATCACTCCAATAAGGCTCCGATTAGAGCTGCCTCTGTGTCGTTTTCTACTCACATCAACACCAAGAGGATGTATACTCCTCGCATTATCCCCTGAGTATGGGTCACTACCTATAATTCCAACATTTGAAGGCGCAGAGGGTGGAGAAGGAGGCAGACCTAAGCATGGAGAAGAAGAGTTTACAATTATAAATGTTGGTCCATGTTGACTATCCCACATCAGCAAAATATAAAACAAAGTTTTACAAATAAGCTTTAGGCTACACCTACTACAAGACTCTTCTTAGGATGCAATGACAAGTTTTAATATTACATTGCAGCTTGGTCCTACAGTAGTTTGTGCCTTTTTTGGGTGCCCACCAACTCCTGGTTTGGGGTATCCTGTTTTGGACTTTTGGGTCAGGTTGAGCCCATTTGTCTCTCTTCCAATTCTCCAAACCCAATTTGGGCTAAGGAATTGAAGGGGTGTGTTGATCATCCAACATCAAAACATATAAGATGCAAACAAACATATAAGCGTTGAAGTTTATTCACAAACCTGGATATCGCACATACAATACATCATAATCACCAAAAAATGAGGCATTTATGAAGACATTTTTGTGCCAGAAATTCTGAAATGTCAAGAAAGCCGTTGTGTTATCAAACTGTCCTCCCAGGGGTACCAAATCGATGAAGACAACAGTCTTTTCTGGATAATGATTAGCAGCATTTGCTCCCATTATGCGAACTTGACTAGGATCCATAGACACTCCGGAAGCAATTTCATAAGCCAACTTCGAAACTAAAGGGAAGAAAGTGTATAATGCTACACTAAGTGACAGCTCAATTTGCATCGGTAAGGCACACACACAAGAAGATCTAGGTGGAGGAGCAGTGAACGGTTCCATGCATATCAATAATGAACAATCTACAAAATAAAAAAGTTGTGCATTGGACATTGTTAGTGAACCAATAAGGCAGTGACACTGAGACAAATGGGTAGGTAAATAAAAACATAAATAATAAATCAATGATAAATACCTTCATTAGGCGGTGGGGGTGGAAAGACAAATGGATGTGGGAACAACATCTTTGGGTTCGTTGCTGAAGACCAAGAAGGGGATATTTTATTGGAAGGAAGAGGCCCTTGAAATAACAAAGATGATATAAAGATAAGCATCAACACATCTCTATTCATAAACTAATAATTGAACAGAATAATACCCGAACTTAATGGTGGGTGAGAAATATGATGTCTAAGGGTAGACTTTGGATCTGAGTTTGAGTGAAATGAAGTCATAGGAGCAATTAAAGGACCTAGAAAGATCAATGCAGGTTAGTATAACATATGGTTAAAAATATTAAGTGTTAGGCAACCCAAGATTTCTCAAAAGAAAAGGATTTTCCAATAATTATGAAGACGTTCATTTACTCATGTTTAGTCGATGTGGCTTTAACACATTTTATCAAACACACTAAGTTTTAATACAGACCTTGTGTAATTGAAGAAGGTGGAGGAACTGAATGTGATGGCGGTGCAGCAGTGACATTCTCCTTTACGAGAGGGTGCCTCTGAGAGTGCCTCGAGATTTTGTGTGTAGATGGAGCTAGGACACGATGAAAAATACTCAAGCCGACAACATAATAAAAATAGTTTATCACCATCAAATGTATTCTATTCACGGGGAAATAGACAAGTTTGTAACTCACCTTTTGATGGGGATGCATGTGTATTCATGTCATGATTAGACATTCTGTAAGGGGGGGCCGCTATAGGCCCAGCTACTCTTTCTCCATTGATGCTTGGTAGAGGAGTTGATGCATCATGCTTAACTGCATAAGAATTAGTACTTTTTGACATTAAGATATGCTAATCTCATTCTTGTTTAACCGCTTGACTTTTATTTTTGCACTTTGATCATTAGTATATTAGTAGAAATTGTAAAAAGTTGATATTTTGAGAATATGAATTGAGAAATTAAAGATTACTCCCTCCGTACCAAATTGATTAGCAAAGTCTACTTTTCTTGGTCAACAAGGTTTGGTTTTATTTATTTATTTAATTAGGATATCAATTTTTTTATTATATTTTGGTTTGAATTTTGCTACTTTGTAAAGCTTTCAGTGTAGTTTCTGAATATGTAAATTTTAATTAGTAGAACTGATTTAATAATTTGCAGGGAAGATTTAACTTTATCGTCATACAACCTTAAAAGCCTTAAATTGCAAATCAATTTGGGACGGATGAAGTATTACATATTAGAACTTGTATTGATTCATTAATAAAACTATAGTTAAAGTAGAGTATGTGATAGTGCAATAGTCAATGTCTTGCAATTAAAAAAGAACGGAAGAAGTATGTACTATATTGAGTACACAATTGCAGTAAATTTGTGAACAACATGGAAATCCATATAGCTTATCTTTTTTTAAAAATAGAATACAAGAAATGTTTGGTTCCAATATGAGAAACACCCATCACTCATGGGAAAATAATGTGTCATTGTAAAGATTAAGAGGTGCGGATGGCCGATATCTTGTCAAAAAAATCATATAATAACAATGATCAAGTAGACTGCAAGATTGCAAGATTGCTAGCAATCCAATGACACGAGATGAGGCTATCCAAATTCACCTCTGCTCATTATTTTTCAAAGAGTATTTAGATATAACTACCACCTGTTTTATTTATACGGCATATGAGGATGGTCCTAAATATAAGTCATTTTTGTATTATTGATGAAGCAATACTTTTATTCTTCCACTATTGTTCCTCTTGAAAACTCTCTAACAAAAGTTCCATAAAAATTCCTGGAACGTGTTAGGAAAGTGAAGGTTATCTTAAATGCTTTATAATATCAATTGGAGGGAGTATTTTGAAAGTGATATTCAAATTCCATGGATAAAGATGAAGTAGAACTATAATTGCAAAATCAGTAATATGGCAATTTGAAAATCAAGATGGTTGACTTTTAGAGATGCTGATAACCTTACAAATATTTTTTTAGATGATAATCAATCTTACAAAATGCAATTACTCAGTACTGATGGACAGTATTTCAGCATATCCACTTTGTTTTAATTATTAAGATAAGAAATACATACTACAATGCATTTTTTATATTCTAATTTCTAATACAAATTGAAATATAAAGACCAACACATAGGTGTCTTCATGAAGCAACACATATAGGAAAATGTTAAGAATACAAAAATATATTGTCTTAATTACCTGGTGAGCTAAATGGAGGTTCTTCTGGAAGTCTTTGATGGTCGGGAGTAGGGTACGCTAGAAGTTTGCTTGGAGGAGATGCAATTGGCGCTTCAATAGTATTGTATGATACGCATGATTACCATACCCAAAAGAAATTACAACTTATTTCAAAAGGTGCATACTATATGTCTATATTTATATCTACACACACATACTAGGCATATCAGCTGGAGTAGATGGTGATACTGCAGGGTTAACTGAGGGATAGGACGGTGTATTTTTTTGTTTTCTGAGGTGTTCAGTTGAACTTGTCCCTACAGTATAAATTTATCAAGAGTGAATACAAAAAGATATAGAATTGGAAATATGACTACAGTGAAAGCGATTAAACTACTCAACTACCTGGAGCAATGGGCATAGAGCGAGAAGCGTTAGCCGTTCTGTTTTCACGAGGACTTGGTGGTGTAGACCCTTCCATAACTGGCGGCATAGCTGGTGAATATTTTCTTAAAGGTTCCTCAGCTGGTACTGCAAGTCAGAACATGAACTAATTCAACTTGTGGCCCACCGGGTCAATTTTAGAACACACTTATCGGTGTCTTAACTTGTTAAGACTCCCATATCTAAATTATAGAAATATAAATATGAGTTTAAAAGGCATTGGGTTAGGTTAGCTAAATATTGGATTCAATCTCACATTGGAAAGCTGAAGAAAGACTAAATGGTTAAAGCTTATGTTGAACTAGCTAACATGTTAGATTCAATCTTTTATCATGGTTTGGTTCAAGTGTTTTTAAACCGAATATGATTAGAGTAAAAATGATTAAACTACTTCAACTACCTGGAGCAATGAGCATAGAGTGAGGAGTGTAATTCGTTCTGTTGTCACGAGGACTTGGTGGTATAGACCCTTTCACAATTGGTGGCATAGCTGGTGGAGATCTTCTTAAAGGTTCCTCAGCAGGTACTGCAGGTCAGAACAAAAACTGCTTTAACTTGTGGCCCGCCGCCCGCCAGGTCAATTTTAGAACACTTTTATCTATATGTCTTAACTTGTTAAGAGCCCCACATTTAAATATTAGAAATATACATATGAGATTGTAAGGCATTGGTTTAGGTTAGCTAAATATTGGGTTCAATCTCACATTGGAAAGCTAAAGAAAGAATGATTGATTACACATTTACACCATTTAGACCTTAGGTTGAACTAGCTAACATATTGGGTTCAATCTATATTGTGGTTTGGTTCAAGTGTTCCGTAACCCAATTGAGGAATCTCAATCCGATTCTGAATTCTATAATCCAACTTAATTATGAATTCTATCACACTATCTATCTATCTATCTAGTATGTGATTCACTAGCCACATCGTCCGTCCAAATGTCTATGGATTAGGCTCAATCATTCTAGTGTGGTTTGACCCATGTGCATCATGGGTTCTATCAGTGACCCCAACATAATTTTAGGTTCTATCACAACTTAAAGAAGCACAACAACTCAGAAACAAAACAAAAAACTAATTACTGGGAGGGATTGAAATGGGAGCGGGATTGTATGGTATTCTATTTCCATTCGGAGTTGGTGAAAGGGATCCCGTCACAACTGGCTGCAAAGTTGGTGGACTCAGAGGTTCCCTTAAAGGTGGCTCTGCGGTTGCTGCAACTTAAAAACAAATAACAAATCAATAAGCTGCCCAGGTGGGGACACTGTTGTCATATTTCCTTGAAGTTGATTCAATTACCTGGAGCAATCGGCACGGTTATGGGGGTGTCAAGTGGTCTATGCTGATTAGGAGTTGGTAGTGGTGAGGATACTATCCCGACTGGCTGCCTAATTGGTGGAATTACTGATGGTGGCTCAACTGGTGCTGCAACCCATTTAAAAAACAAATCACCTTAAGAGATTTATCATCTCATAGTGTAATGACCTGTGAATATAAGATTTACCTATAGGGGCTGGCATCGGAAGAGAAATCTCTGGTGATTCCTTTTCACCAGGTCTTGGTGGAACCGATCCTATCACGACTGGTGGCATAGTTGGTGGCAATTCCCTTACAGTTGGCTCCACAGGTGCTGCAACTCATGCAAATAAAAAAAAAACTAATTGGCTCTGTAATTGGTTTAACTACGCCTTGAGATCATTTTTGGTATCATGTCTGTCCCAAGTCAGGATAAAGGAGGAGGGTGTTGTGGTAAGCACGTGACGGCCAACAGTATAATTTACTCACATCACATCACATGAATCGAAATATGAATGCAAAATCTTTTGAGAATAAGGCTTGGGTGTTGTTTGTTGGTTGTGTAATTGGTTTGTTTTGTAGTAACTTCCTTGAAGCTGGCAATGCACCATATAGCGTGTAGAGGTTGTATGGAGTATAGGTTGTTGTATCTGATTGATGAAAGTGTTGTAGATAAAGACTCCAATAGAGTGTTGTAGATAATCATTTCAATAGAGAGAACATTACCTAGATAAATTGTTAACTGATAATTAATAATTTATTTTCCCATTACAAAAAAAAAGCAATTACCTGGAGCAATTGGTATGGGAAGAGGGGTGTCAGGGGTTCCACTTTCATGGCGATTTGGTGGCACATTTGGTTGCATAGCTGGTGCGCTTGGTGGTGATTTCTTTATAGGAAACCCATCTTGTACTGCAACTCAGATGATAACCAAAGATTTATAGTAGTCAAAAGAGTCATATGGCATCTAGCTTAAACCACACTAAAATATTGAATCCAATATGTTAGCTTAGCTGCTTTAACCCAAGGTTTTATTAACCCAGTGTAGATATTGAAAATTAAAATTTGTTTCACACCCATGACTCTTTTTAATCTTTCATTGTTGGACTCCAATGAACAACATTTCCATTTTTTGCATTGGAGCCAAAGATTCGCTATTTTTTTGCTTGGGAATATGATGGAATAAAGGAAAACAACTCACTAAACTGTCTGGGCTTCTTTGTTATGAAGCACTAGTCAGTCCATGCAATTTTCGACGCGATTTTCACCTTGGGGTCATCCGGAAACGGTCTCTTTGTACTTTAGTACAGGGGTGAGGTTGCGTACTTCCAACCCCCCCTTACCCGCTATGATACCAAGATATATTTCAGAATTGAATTGAGGTTTCAACTAATCCATAAAACACTTGGATCATACCACACTAGAAGATTTGAACTAATTTCTAGCTAGGTTGCCAAGGTGTTTAATTTTCCAACATGGGCATCTAATTGATACCCCCCCTCCAACATAGCAAGTACTAAATCAGCATTAGAAACAAGGCTCATTTCTTAGGGATGGAGGAGTATTTAAGTATTAATGTTCGCCAATAACCTCAATTTTATTAGTTCATACCTGGAGATTCTGGTGCCACCACAGGATAATTGGTGCGTGGAGGCTTACTCTGAGGACCACTGAGTGGTGACACTTGGACGAGGCCATTAGAGTTCATTGGAGGAGATGGGACAATGTCTTGTCTAGTCATCAGTCGAGGACTGATATCATTAGGTGGAACTGTTGTAGGACCACTTGGTTGCACAGACATGGCAGATCCTCTCATTGTTTGAGGTGCAATGTCTGTCTGGAAAGGCAGCAAAGCAGACGGAGGAGGGTTCACACTTTTTCCTGATTGGAGCAAAATCATAAGTATGGTTGGGTCCTGGAAAGTGCTGGCTAAAGGAAAACAGATGATAAATTGCTAAGCAATTAATTTCTTCTATCTTGGAATATACAAATAAAAACGAAATAAGATTTTTCTACTTATATTTAGACTTTAGAGTCTCTATATAATAGAGACAAAATATGTTTGAACAAATATCTAAAATAATTTAATTAAACTTAAGCTCATCTTTTATTTTCTTCAAAAAAATAAAAACATTCCTTCAGATTTTCTTCTGTACTAACTTTCCCTAGTTACTTCTGAGTTCCAAACACACCCTAAAACTATCAATGTTGTTATTAGTGGCTTCCTCCTAAAAACGCTACTTTTAAACAAAAGAAAATCCAAGCATGCCCTTAGTATTACAGAACGAAAAGCCCAACCATTTGGTGAAGACGAAGTAGTAGGTGAGACTGTTTCAGAAGGTGCTCCATTAGATATAGCAGGAATTGCAGCCGAAGAGGGGGGTAAACTGTGACCTGACAAAAAGTTCGACAAAATGAACTATAAACCAAACATAACATCCTAATATCAATGATAAACAATTACGCTAAATAATGGATCTTTAAGGCTGATTATCACACTTGAAGAAAATTCTGATATCGTTCAATGAATGACCAGATCCATAGCCACATCTATAGTCAACCTTTTATTTTGAATATAATATCTATAGTCACATCTACCAACTAGGCATAAAAGAAATTCATATACAACTTTACTTATTGCGAGGAAAAGTAAATTTATTGATAGAATATAAATCAGAGTTACAATCATGTTTCAGCAAACCGTTTATCTCGTGTGGTGACTCAAGTAGTAAAACAGTGTTGTGCCGTGTCTCTTTACAATCATATACAACTATTCATTCATAAAAAGCATTCAAGCAATTAAGTCCTTTATATTTAAGCAAAACTGAAACGTACAAGGTTTCACAAACATCAGAGAGTTAAATTTGACAGTATCACCATAAAATCCATAGAAAGAATTGGAGGCAATAAAAATGCATATTCAGATTGACTAAATACCACAAATAATGCATGGGATATAATTATCTTGAGAGTTTATTAAAAACCCAGATTGCCGGATTCATAACAGTATACTACATATTCGAACCAATATATGAAGAACATCAATCAAAATCAGAACAAGAAAAGAAGAAGTTATACCTGAAGAAGCAAGAGGCAGGGAAGAAGAAGCAATGGCAAATATTTTCAGCAGAAAGGAGAGAAGTCGAAGCATCCCCCACATGCCCATCCCATACGAACCAAATCTAAAGGAAACCCACAACTAACTTTATGAATACTTTAATAGAAAGAAAAGAAAAAACCAAAAACTGAGTACTTGGAAGCAATCAAGAAGAAAAGGAGGAGGATAGATATTGAGAGGCAAACAATGAAGTACTGTCAGTTGTTAGTAAGAAGAAAAAAATCCCAAACTGAAAAGGGGGGTTTGGTGACATGAGAAGAATAAAAGCAAAGCAAAGCAAGCAGTGGTTTCTGAAACAGTGAGCATGACACAAAGACAGTAAGATGCGTTTTTCGCAGATTTACGTTTCTATTGTCATTTGAGCAATTAAAGAGCGCTTTTTTCCTCACTCTCTCTCTCTAATAAAACTGACACAACTTAGTTTAACAACACTAAATGGCACAAGAGAACAAACATTTCTTTAATAAGTGGATTAACACCCCTTTTAAATATGTCTGACATTCAAAGAAAATAGAGTTACAATGTGCATTATAATAGAATGTATTAATAGAGTTACAATGTGCACTAATATCACTTTTATAAAATTTCTCTTTTTAGAGTTCAAATCGTTAGGTACATGAATCATCAATATATATATCTACTCTTGAAATCAAACTATTGATACTTACATTCATACCGATATCATTAAAAATTTGGAGTTATTTTCAAATGGAAAAAGGATCAAATAAGCATTTCTACTATTTTCAATTTATCACTTAAGCCCATTGTGGATATTGAAAATTATTTAATATTTTGGACTTAATATTTTATGACGCTCCATAAATATTATTAAACTCATTCAAATGCTACCGGGCTATTCTCAATCATATTGGACCTCATTTGGATGCTACTGGGTCGACGTTGAATTCTACGGGGCTGCTCGTGATAATTGTTGGGCCTTATTTAAAGGGAAATATTAATATGAATCCATCCAGAGAAAAATTAGTGATTGAATTATTTTGGATCATTTAAAATGCCCAATTAATTCAATTATAAATTAAGTCTTACAAAGAATGGGCGGGTCTATTAATTTCTTTATTTTAAGCCCGATATTAAATAATGGCCCAACATGCAAGAGACATGATTCAATTAATGAAGAGAGCAATTAATATGGTTAAGAAATATGGACATATGCATGGGAAATGGCTGTGAACCTTGTTACAAAAGGCTACCCAGATACATCAAACAAGTGCTGATTTTTCTAGTTATAAAAATACAAGCAAATTGAGCCCAGAGCCCATTTTCATTTGGGCCCATGGGATATGGACGAATTTTTGCAACCCTAAGCCATATTTTCATCCCATCCACACCTATATATAGGGGGCTCAGTTGAGAGAAAGAGGAGGAGAACTTTAAGACGAAGAAACGCTGCAGAAAAGCTCTGTAGAACTCCCGAGAGGCTCTGAACAATTCCGAAGAAGAGGAAGAGATCAAGCCACGAGTTTTATTATACGAAGAAGAGGAATATACGAATAATCCTTTGTGATTTCGTCGATTCTTGATCAAATAAATCCAAAAGTCGAAGAACGTTCGAAAATCTGAAGAACGAAGCTTGAAGATTCGAAGATCTGAAGAACAATGCTTTGAAGATTCGAAGATTTGAAGAACGAATCTTTAATTTGAAGATTTGAAGATATTCATATAAAGATTGAATTAAAATTCAATTGAAGATCAAGCCATATATCCTAGGAGACCCTTAAACAGAAGATTAAGCCATAAAGCGGCCCTTTTGTTGAAGATCAAGCCACTTGAAAATTGGAGGCCCTTCAAGCTGCATTCTTTATTCAAGAAGATTTGAAGATACGAAGAACGAAGATTCGAAGATTCAAAGATCTCAAGGACGAAGATTCGAATATCCGAAAAACGTTCGAAAGTTTCCAGGTATTTCTATAACTCTGTTAACACACACGAGACGTCTTTATTGAAAGGACTCGGAGGTATGAGTGACGAATAAAGCCGAACTAAATAGTCTGGTCCAAAACTATTATAAGCTATTATTCACGTTAGTGTAGATGTGGGAGCCCTAGAGGTGGGAAACTTAGGGGCAGAATTACTGATACTCAAAATGAACGACTATTAAGAGATATCACGACGGAGAAGGTGAAATTAGATGCTTTTAGTATGCATCCGGATAAATTCCTAGGGTCATATGTCACGCCGCAGACCGCGTCTGTGCCACGTGGACAACCGTCGTACAACCCACCAAGAATAACCGCAGTTCATCCTTACCGAATTGCGCAAGACGTCCGATAGATACATATGCCAAAACCGATTAGTAAACATACATAAAAACATCAACATACAATTAAACACATAGCGGAAATAAGTGTTTAATAAGAACCCACACAAGGGTAAAACAAGAGCTCGCAGACTCCATTAATTTATAAGTCAAAATAGTTCCATGAGCATTATTTAATTATTTGGAAATAGAACCAAAGGAAGCACGAACCACGTCTTCTCTCCATCGATCTCCTGAACAACGGGTGCAGGAAGTAAGCTCTAGCTTCAACCTGAAAGGGTGGTTCCCCTGAGGATCAGTACTACAGAAAAGTACTTGTGAGGGCAAACTGTATGTAATGTAACTAACGTTTCTCACGTGAGACCCTCAAAATAGGGTGATAGTATAATTATGGGCATAACTCTTAGCTACCCCTTTTCAAAACAAAATGTATACATATATACATATGAGTAAAATATCCGGCCCATGGGCCCATTTGTCTTTCAAATCATTTAGGCGTAACTGTAACACTTGAGATTTAATATAAATGGATTAATAGTACTACTCATACCAACAGAGGTGCATCTCCTTTTAAGGGAGCTCATCACCCAAGAACTCCAAAGTTAAGCGTGCTTGCACGAGAGTAGTCTTGGGATGGGTGACCCCCTGGGAAGTTTCTCAGGGCGCGCATGAGTGAGGACAAAGTGTGCGGTAAAGGCTCGTGGTGGTTTGTGGGGACAGTACTAGAGGTCTGGAGTAACTACCTCGGGTCCTGCAGGGCCGGGGTGTTACAAATGGTATCAGAGCAACCCTGCGACAGTGTGCTGATCCGTTGGATATCGGGCAGACACTTAGCAGGGGAAAGATTCTGGGGTTTGATTGAGATTTGAGATTGGTTTATGGGCGCAACGAGGACGTTGCGTTCCTAAGTGGGGGTGATTGTAACACTTGAGATTTAATATAAATGGATTAATAGTACTACTCATACCAACAGAGGTGCATCTCCTTTTAAGGGAGCTCATCACCCAAGAACTCCAAAGTTAAGCGTGCTTGCACGAGAGTAGTCTTGGGATGGGTGACCCCCTGGGAAGTTTCTCAGGGTGCGCATGAGTGAGAACAAAGTGCGCGGTAAAAGCTCGTGGTGGTTTGTGGGGACAGTACTAGAGGTCTGGAGTAACTACTTCGGGTCCTGCAGGGCCGGGGTGTTACAGTAACAACCTCATTAAATTCACCCTTCCCATGTCTTACCCTCGAGTGGAGTCACTCGCAGGCTGACTCACCCGATATCAAAAATATAATTACCGTGGGGGCCCTTCGGACTCCCATATCACGGATATGGTTTAAATCAATTCCTAGACCAAGGAAAATATCTTATCGGAAACCCGTCCCCGATCAAGCACGTTTAATCATTTAAAATCATTACCTTGAGGTTCACCTACCTCGAGGACTATCCGACCTTACTATCATAGTTTTCATTTCCGGGTTAACCCCGCCTTGAGGAGTACGCATACACCCTCATCCTATGTGTAATTTGATGGAGGTTAATACACATCAAGGACTACACTTGCCTTTATTACCTATGTGTAATTTGTTGGAGGATACCACACCTCAAGGACTACACGGGCTCTTGTTACCTATATGCAATTTGATGGAGGTTAACACACCTCAAGGACCGCACTTGCCCTTGTTACCTATGTGTAAGTTGATGGAGGTTAAACACACCTCAAGGACTACATCTGCCCTTGTTACCTATATGCACTTTGATGGAGGTTAACACACCTCAAGGAATGCATTTGCCCTTGTTACCTATATGCAATTTGATGGAGGTTAACACACCTCATGGACTGCATTTGCCCTTGTTACCTATGTGTAAAACACCTTAAGGACTACACGGGCCCTTGTTAACGTTTGAGTGTATAGGACTCCTCCTGGTCCTACAGAGTATTATATAACCTTACTTGGTCTCGGGTATTCACCCGCCATATATAATCTACCACGTACCTCGTCCGGTCGTGGTCTATAATTTCTTTACTAACAACTAGTCGAAGCCTTAGCGTTTAAACCGTATTCCAAGACTTATCATTTTAAACATCATATTTCATGTGATTCCATGCAAAATATTCATATATAGGATGGCCAAAATTAATCCCACGTCGAACCGGGTCCGATTTGGGTTTTTAGCGAAAATCAGTCCTAAAAGCCGAGACATAACCGGCGCCGGTTTTACCCATAACCGGTGCCGGTTTACTGATTTTTCTTAGTAAACCGAACCATAACCGGCGCCGGTTACCCCCCTGGGGAAACCAGTCAACATTTTGGTCAACGCCCATTTGACCATCCAAACGGGGTCCGATTTCCACGAAATTTTATACGCTTATGAAACAAGTCATTCTTAGTCCAAAAAATATCATTTTGGACGTCCAAATCATCACACATAATTTATAATCATTTTCTGTCCAAATTAAAGCATATTAAGTATACTTATTAATAATATTAATAAGTAATCTTGTCACATTACATTCTTAGATGTATTTGATCATTCAATGTAATATCATTCTTCCTCTTTTGAGTGATCTCATGCCTAATCCCTAAGCATGGCTTATGATCCTCTCTTAAAACCTTTTATTCATACCATTAATTAATTAATCATTAATTATGTCATATTCCCATAAACCATAATTAATATGGCTAATCACAATATCACATATGTTTTTATATATTACATTTACTAGATTACTCTAGTTAGCCATATGAAGAGTCCATGTATATCTTCTTATACATTTAAGAAATATATATGACCGGGCTGAACTTGCAAGTGTACAAGTGCCGATATAGTAATAAATTCCGGTAAAATACCGGGTCGAATCCACAGGGAAACGTTGTTTAATTTAGTCCGCGAGTAGATGACTTTGAATAAGTAAATGAGTAAAGTGCTGGGATTTTGAGTTGTGTGTTGTTGTGAACACAGCAACTTGGTTCTTCTTTTTAATTTTCAGAGATATAACTTGAATTAATTTGATTAAAGTGATTGATAACAACAACTAAGGCTTCGGGAATCACTTAAATGCTTTAATAGGGTTGAATATTAGTTCTTTACCAATAATTATGAATACGATGTCGCTAA